GAGAGAGTGTGAGTGAGAGAGTGAAAGGAGCAGTGACACAGTGGATGATGGAAAGTTGTTACAGAACAGTGTAAAAGGCAGAAAGCCACTGATGAGCTGTGTGGTGTTATGAATGACTGAGCAGGCACTGTATGTATGTCTCTCTTTGATTTTGTTGTATATTGCCATAATGCCAAAATCAAATAAACTTTGGTTATTATCTTTGCTTGTGTCTCCTTGTTTTAGCTCTTTGTGTGTTGGTTGATAATATGATCGGGTGCACTGTGTTGTTGTGAGAGAAAAATGTCGCTTTAGACAATACGGTTACATTAATACATTTATTTGTTTATCAAATGCACAAGCTGGATATATTGATTGAAGGCAGGAAAGACAGGCGTACATTTAGCTAGACCAACACTTCAAAGGTTAAAGAGAGAAGATTAGATAAGCCACTGTAGCTGATGAAGCAAATGTTTATTTTCGTTGTAGAGACTGTCAGGGGTGTTGATTAAACTTGACAACAATTCAGCCAGAAACTATTGTAAATCCCAATTACAACTGCATAAGCTCAAGATAGTCACATTATCTTAATTGATTGAATGAACCTTTTGCCAGTATGTGTCAGCTTCAATAGAGGTCTGACAACAACTCAGAGGTACAAAGAGGTCAGATAGTCATTGCTGGTACATTGGTTTCAAACATTACAAAATACTGTACTGCAACACAAGTAATACATACACACTGAAATGCACTTACCAGTATTTATATTAAAAGAAAAAAAGACAATCCAGCTTAATCAACACCTGTGACAATCAACAAAAAACAAACATTATGACCAAACTGGTATTGACTGCAGAACTACTGCAATGTGCTTTAAGGTAATCCTGTTATTTTGCTCCTGTATGTTCTCCTGAGGAAAGGTGCCATACTACGAACTAGCTTACAGTCCCTACACATGGCTTTGGTTTACAGACAAAAAAGTTTGGCAGAGGCATTAATCTTACATTCATATCTATTGCAATAAAGCCAAGGTCGCAGCAAAGGCACAGAGTTGAAACAAAATACAGAAACTCCTTCAAAGTGAGAGCAAAGATTCAAGAAGCTGAACTGGAAATCAGGAACGAAGCAGTAAAAATCTATTAAAGCTGTCTTGAAATGGATTAAATCAAACAAAATTACACATTACAACTGATTCCACAAATCTACATGTTACTGTATCAGTGTGCAGAACAAACATACACAATAGACACATTTGGTGTCACTTTGGATGAAAGTGCATTTTTGATCTGCACCCGGCTGAAAAAAGGGGATCAGGCTGGTTTGTTAATGTGACTTTAAGCATCCATGAGGAAAAAGTCCCATAAAAAAACAAGTTTAACCGCAGCCAGTACCTCCTCAGTCATCAGTTAATATACTGTACACACCCATATATAGTAAAGCAGAACATGTAATAAAATACAAGACACACCTCAGTTCTATTTACAAGGAGGCTTGATTGTTCCAAAATCAGTACATGACTAAAAAAAAAGCGAAAAGGCAAAAGCAAATATCATACGTTCAGCTCAGGTGATCTCATCAAGTATATAATCTGAGCTTCATTTATTATTAGCACACTACAAAATAACATTTGCTGATAGTGAAACAAATGCTTCCCTTTTAAATGCTACTGCAGCTAGAGTATAAAAAAAGACACTTAAATACATATTTTATACACACACTAGTTAATTTCTGTGCATAAAGCAGTACAAAGTGTTTCATAACATTGACAATTTTAAAAGTCAGTCGTATTTTTCCTTGTGAAATTTCCATCAAAAAATATATTTCCTTCACAGAAAAATTCCAGAAATGCGACAAATGTGTACTGTACTGATTCAATCTGGGTGTTGGAGAATTAAGGTATTAATATTTCCTAATGTGAAAAAATATATCCTCAGACATAGGAGTCGGTTGCAGAGAGACAGTACAAAAAAAGCAAACAGAGGAGGTAGATATGGTGTCTCTACAACCAGGCTATCTGTGCGTATATGTGTGTCTGTGAACTGGCTTCTGAAAAAAGCTTCTTTTACGTACCAGACGTCTGGTATTCCATTGTCTAGAAGTTTTAAATGTTCTTTGATAGCTTGTATGCTTTTATAGTGTTTAATACATTTATATGTATACCTTTGGCTAAGGGGACGACAGTAGAAACAGCACGATATACCAAGGGTTTGCGTCATTCAACACACTTTTGAAACAATACTGAAGTAGAAAGTGTAACTTTCCTAATATCATTAAGGTGTTCTTTGGTGTTAGCAAGGATTGTGATGATTATCTTTGAAAACTATATAACAGTATTTCAAGTACCATGATATCTGCAGTCCGACACACAGGCCATACCAGGATGTGCGCATGCGTCTGTGCGTGTGCTTGTGATTGAAATCTATGGCTTTAAATGATACTAATTTGGCTCTTTGACCTAAACCAAAATAAATAAACAGCAAAAAATGATGATGACACTCGCTTCTCCCAAAATCACAAGGAACTTAAAGTCTAACTGGATCGTAACAAAACATGGAGGGCTTCTATTTGTGATATGGTTTGTGGTGGGCAAAATGTGCACCAGCAAGGACAAACAAACAACAACACTGGAAATATCAAAACATGAATGGGTAGATTGCTGGTGCTCATTTTGAAGGCACATACAAAAATGAATCCTACAGTTCCCCCAATTCTCGGCCCCATGGCGTCAGTCTAAGCCTCCACAGCAGTGAGGCCGTTGCTGTGTGGTTTGTAGCCGTTGGCCTCGGTGGGGTTTAGGGCCCGCAACTCCTGTCCAGCTGCCCGCTGGTCTCTGGCCTCCTTTTCCCTCAGTAGGTGTCTGCGGTGGTAGAACAGGTAAGCGGGCAACAGGAAGCCGGCCAGTGAGAGGATCAGCAGGCCGAGGTTGATCTGAAGCAGAAGTGGATGATATTAATGATTTAAATGTAATTTGTCTTTATATTTGTGTCTCAGTTTTAACCATTTGATTGGAGTACAGACAAAAGATTTTGAGAAAACAAATATCTTTTTCTATGCTCAAAATGTCTCATTGCACCCTCACAAACACAAATATAGAACCATACATCGTCTGCAAGTGTATGGAGTTAGGTGTGAGAGATAAGTGTGCATCCTAACCCAGTAGGGGTCTCCTTTCAGTGGTCCAACCATGGCGATGAAAAGCGGCTGCTGCAGCAGAGCAATCACAGCGCTGATCATGGACTGGAGGCCTGTCAAGGTGCCAAAGTGGTTGGACGGGTAGCTGTGGGAGAGACACTAGTGGTTACAAAGAGTTTGAAACACTAAATGAAATGACACCGAGCCCCAGATGATTAAGTAGTTGTTTCTGTGGTATTAACTATGATAGAGCACAGAAGAAGCAATCTAGTGAACAGTGGACACGATTCAGCTCTTAATACTAGACTCTAGATTCAGTTTATTCAACATTGACGCAAACAGTTCATGGATTTTGTTAAAAGAATATGTTGAATGGTTGCACACATGGTTCCAATGTGTGCACACATAATACAGCATCCCCTACTTTTGTCATCACATCTGGTTGCTTTTATCACACTGTAAAGTGCAGCTTTATGTTTGGTGTTTATATGGTGCTGGAAACAACTCTAAATGAGTCCGGAAAGAGTCTACTGTTTCATTGCCAGATCTCAATTGTTATGCTTTTATAAAGTTGAATGTTTATTATCTTATTAATGAAGTGGAAAATAGAGGCACATTGTCCGTATTTCTACTTTGTTAAAATATATTCAATTATAACACCACTTTAACGATTGCTTTGTGAGACATTACACCCCTGACGTCCCATTTTCTCTTATATGTGTGTGTGTGTTTAAGAGAGCTTCAGGTGATACTTTAGCACTACAGCACTCACACAGCAGCATAAAGGCCTCCACAGCAGGAGTGGATGAAGCCTCGGACCATAGTGTGGAGAATGAAGGTCAATATCTGAGCGAGAAAAAGAGAGAAGAAAAGACAATCAATGAATCTGAGCACTGCAACTATTTATTCTTTACTAGTGTTCTGGCTGCCATTTGTGTGTTTGTCTGTGTGTGTGTGTGTGTGTGTGTGGTACCTGTAGAGGCAGATTTTCTATGAGGCAGCACACTCCGAAAACAAGCAGCAGCATGTTGGTGAGAATAAAGGCTCTCATGGCGTTGGTTACTTTCTGGATCTTACTGTCTCTCTTGGGTCCACTGGTCTGTCTGATGGGCACACAGGAGTTTTATTACTGAACTCATTATAATAACACCATCAGACATTCACATGTATGTCTGTCATATCTGGATGCATCAAATAAAAGTACCAAGTCACGTTTAGAATAGAGACCTTGAGTTAATTTTTATCAGTCAGAGTACTTCTTTAAAGCTGTCATGACTTGCGGCATGTACCTCTGCTCTGTGCCTGGGGTGGAGGTCTTCTCTTCTTTACACTCCTTCATCTTCCAGTCCATGATGTATCCAATCAGAGGACATGTGGCCAGGCACAGCAGCTGCAGCGTGCCAAAGATGGACGAGTAGAAACTCACTGAAGGAAAAACATATTAAATCAAGTTAAGAAGATTTAAAAAAGAGAAAAAGATGTGAAAGACATGTTAAAAGTATACGAATTTAAAGGCATTTAATTAAGATAATCACCTTTCTCTTCGGCCTCAATCACCAACTGCTCAGATGCTGAAATAGAAAAAGACCAACTCTGTCAATTACCCTTAAATGTGTTTGATACAATACAATAAAAACCCAGTAATAGTTTGCTGAGAATGTGATCAAGGGGTTAGACACTCACGATGCTCTTCACCGTGGGTGACCATAAACTCCAGCATCTTGTTCATCGCCCCCATGAAGAAGATGATCCTCAACTGGGACATCCCCATTGTCACCAGACTCCACAGAAAGATGGGAGAGAACACGGACCGTCGGAAGGGAGCAGCATCTGAGAGAGGAGGAGAGGGTCGGCGTTATCCAACATAAAAGTTACAGTAACGTACATGAATTTATTTTATTTATTTACAAATTGAAGGCAGGTGATTAGGATTTCTTTCTTATCATGTTTAACTGCAAAAGTTGTCAGACATCCAGTCGGCCACCTATTTGTCATCTTGTGACTCCCTGAGATATATCTTGTGAAGTCAGAACAAGCTAATTTCTGTACTTTTCTACTTCTTTTAAATGACTAATTTTACTTCTTTAGACCTATAGACCTATTAAAAAGCTTGATTTAAAGGGACACAAGCCAAAAAGAATGGGAGGCACAAAAATATGGTACTATCCAAGGTGGTGGAACATTTGCATTTGTCAAAGATAGGACAGTATGCAGAAGATTACAGACTGGATCTTTGACATATTTTATTTTTATATAATATAATATAATATGATGCAATATACAGATCCATACACTTGTTTACTTGTTTTCTGCATATAGGTCCTTATCGTCCAGTGTGAAGTGTAAAGTAAATGGTTTGTTGACTTACTGGGTGCAGCGTCAGTACCATTAGGAAGTTTCTCTGTGGAGTGTTGGATGTCTCCATTTTTTTGGCTCAGCCTTTCTCCGACAACCTTCAGGTCCGACGATGGCAGCTCTTGCTGTATGAGGATCTTACTGTTATAAATAAACACATGCACAGGCATTGAGGTTGGAGTAAAGGATGTGATGTTGTAAAAAACATTTTTGTGCCTGTGTGTCTCTGGAAAGAGATAATGCGACTGGCGGCCACACTAACCTGTAGTCAACCTCGTCAGGTGTTGGGAAGCCTTCTTTGGGCCAGTTGAGGAAACAGTTGACACAGACAAACCCGGCAAGACCCGCCCACATCCACATGATCACCCGGAAAGACACGCCTGCATCGTAGATCAGCTGGGAAGAAGAGAGACAGGAGGAGGAAGGTTGTTATAATTGTAAGTAACTTGCTGTTTTTAAAAGGTGCATTCATTGATGTTTTTGGCCAGCTGGGGCCAGAAGAACAAGCAGACCTAGTAAAGTTATTATGGTGAACGTGTTAGCAAGCAGCTGCTAATTTACACATCCAGCTGACACAGAACAACATTGGAATTTATTTGGAATCATGTTCTTGGCCACCCTATGAATGTAAGCCCATTATTTAATCTCCCTTTGGTGATAGGCAGGTAGCATACACATGGTTAATTAACTGAAAGACACTAAAACAATCCATTCAGCTGAGGAGAATGTCAATTGTCCAAATATGCTTTCTAATTTTGCTGATACAAGCACCATAATGTAGTACTACGGCTGTATATTTGTGTGGTTTATTTGAGAGAACCGTGAAGAAAGTCTCAGTATTATTGTCTTTTTCTTCTTATATAGCCTAGGTAATTTACCTTGACTCCAGGGAAGGTGACAGCAGAGGAGGCGTAGGAGCCAATCATCAGAGACATGATGGTGGAGCTCAAAGCACCAAACATGTTGGGGAGCTGCAGGGACAGAGAAGGGGAGAAACAAATTATATAAATAGACACAAAAGATGTCAGTTATTAGACTAAATAAACATTTTATCTGGACCCGATGTGAAATAAGCTTGTATGTAACCTACACTGTATATATAAATGTAGTTTAGCCATGGTGCAGTATGCCATTTGACCAGCAGAGGGCAGACAGCTGCTTTGAGTGAGCAGATGAACCAGACTGGGAAAGTTCCTCTTAATCAAGACTCTGTGAACTGTTCGTGCTGATGGCGTTTGCACCCAGTCACACTTCTCTCTCCCTGCAGAGCAGACTCATTAAAAAAATATTAGTTTCCATGTCATGAGGAAACAAGAAACAAAGTCATGACCCAGTTTGGGTCCCTACCCCATACTACAAACACTGACTAAGCTATACTTAGACACATCCACAGCCTTTATTCTTGCTATTTCAACAAATTCCTTGAGGTAGGATTAAAAACGTGGAAGCCGATCTATAGCCAGCTCTCGATGAACTTCTGCGTGGGAGCCATGCGTTACACACAGCAAAGGGGACAAGGTGGCGGGCACCAGGCACTAACACATCATATATTAGGTCGACCTATTTACAGTAGTAAGAAGCTTAACGAACATAACAATGACATATTGTGCTGCCAGCACACCCAGTGTCCTTTGATTAGAGATTTAAAAGGGTCAATCATGATTATAAAATCACATGTGTGGGATTTTAGGTGTGCAGCATGACAAGCTCGCTATTCTCTCTCAACACTGACCACAGTTTTCCAAACTTCTGCTGGCGTCACCTAATCTCCCCGCTGGGTCAGAGTTCACCGTGCAGTCAGTGTCCCTTTTTTTAATCTCACAGGTGTGTGCACTTTCCACACCCTTGCACTGATCTGAGGCTGAGGCTGGACCAAATGACGTCAAGCCACAGTTGAGAAATTGGGAACACGAGGAGCCAAAAAATAATAGGACTGACATTATTCTGACATATTTTCAGATACGGAGCAACATTATCATTTATTTGGGGTTGTAATTCTGTCTGTCTGATAAATAAAAGTCCAATAACCACTCAATGTTCTGTTTTGGTCCCCCCCAACTTGAGGAAAATATCTGACTGTTTAGCAGCTAAATGCTCCTCTGTGTTCACCAGCTAGTAGTTAACTTTGTCATTTGGTGTTGGGCCTCCTGCAGCTGTAAACGATGCTGATGAGAGTGGTGAGAGCGAACAGTAAAGCTGCGGGCCCCAAAACCAAAACAATTAGTTAGAAGATGCTATAGAGTTCTGTAGAGCTGAGGGGAACTTCATGGTCTGGTGATAATTACCTGTGGGCTTGTAACTATGAGCGATTGTTAACATCAAATCTTTGAGTCTAGCAGCTTTAAGTATAGCTGATATCATATATGTTTCTGATTACCCTGTACCCTGGTGTGCTTTAAAATGATGCAGTCCAGTCTCATTTGACTCCCTTGGTGGGTCAGAGAGCATGAAATAAGTCCAAAGAAAGGGTTTTCTAAGAACTTAATTACCACAAATGGACATTCCTCAAGAGCTGCTTTTGTCTCCTAAGTCCAGCAAGACATAAAAGTAGAAGGAAGCTTTTTTGTGATGGTAGATGTTTGTGCTTGTGTGGGGGTTGGCTGCTGTCTGGAGATTAGGCTGTGGTGGAGGTTTGCGGCTGATTAGTGTGTGTATGTGTGTGTGTGTGTGTGTGTGTGAATGTGTGTGTGTGTGTTGCAGTAGGAAACATGAGGGCACTTCAAGAGCTGACACAACAAGGAGGTTGGCAGGTAAACAGAAAAAAAAGCTTTCCTGAGGATGTTCGAGGGAGAGAGCCCGACTGTCTGAGCAGGATGAGAAAAACATTCTAGAGACCAGTCTTCATTCAGCACTTCTGAGAATCGAAATACTTCACGGTCGGTCTGTGGCGACGAGATCTACAGCGCTAAAACTCTCTGACTGCAGAGGTTTGTGGTATGTAGGCGAGAGGGCCCTCTGAGCACACAAGAGGAGTTTGCATCTCTTACTAATGTTAAAGCAAAGATATTCCAGCCATGTGAGATGTCGTGTGTTCAGCTAGATGTTTACTTTCAGATGTGTGGTAGCAGCAACCCGAGTGTGTCTGAGCGATTTGCGGTGGAAGGCAAAAAAAAAAGTGTGACATGTCTGTGTGTGTGTGTGTGCATGTGCCGGCAGCAGGCGTGATTCCCACCAGTGTGTTCTGACAGTTCTCATAAAATACATATTTCACACAGGGCCTTGCAGCACATGTCCCGTATGCTAACGCTACCAGGGGGACGTGGACAGAAACACGTGACTTTATGGAAGCACAAGAGGGTCAACTGGTGTCAGAAAGTCACACACAAATGGAGCTTTGGCTTGTCACGACAAATCAGTTCAGGATCTACTCCTGCTGTGCTCACTCACTTGGGTGTTGTAAGACTTTGGCACTGGGTTTAATTAATCACTGAGAGAACGGGCCAAATAGTAGCTAATGAGCACTGAAACTCTGATGCAGGTCTGCACACGTGGAAGAGAAGTAGAATATAGGACGTGAGAAAGTGGAATAAAAGGGAACAGGAGGGGAAGAAAGTGGGAAAGAGGTGTATATAAATAAGCAAGGATTGAAATGAGGAAAAAGGGAGGTAGTGGGAGTAACATTTTTTTTAGTTTGACTGATCTCCCCAAGCCACAGCTGCAGTCCCTCTCTCTGTGGAGAACCCAGCAGGAAACACAAAAAAAAAAAAAACCACAGCTGATTAACACCGGCTTCTTCTCTCCACCTCAATTCTCTGCCGCCTTTTAACACTGTTCAAAGACTGGTCAATCCCTCACAGCTTTGGCACAGTGCTCTTGTCCAGCTGCAATAGACTTATATAACAAGTAGTCTAACGTAAAGATGGTGGGAGCCTTAAACCACGACGAGTGACTCTCGCTTTTGAGGTTTCTTACCCAAAGCATCTACAGTTTCCTGTAGCGGCCTCTATTTGTTGGGTAAATTTAAAAGAAGAGAAGCTTTTCTCTGCCAGCTGAGACCAAAGTTAGCATGTGGAAGAGGGACAGCTCTTCAGCCCAAAGCACGTTTCTGACAAGCCCCTACGCTCAGCCAGTACCGTTGAAGGGCAGTCCCTTATCTGTTACAGTAAGTGCCAGTAGTCCTCAATCCTTTGATGCAAATGTCACACACACGTGTAAAGAAATACCGTACATACTTAAAATACATAATTAATGGTAGTTACGCCCTGGGAAACCAGGGCGTCCTCATGGTTGCTTTAGGCACATATGTGGCAGTAAAGTAACTAAAGCATGCACGGCTCACCTCCTCTCAACAATGAACTCTTACATGAACTTCAAAACCACAAGGGTGTGTTCGCACAGGTTAATGAGGCTACAGATTAAGTCTAAATGAATTATTAGCGAAGAAAAGGTTTAGTGGAAGAGTTGGACATTTTTCAAAGCTGTTTTTTGCAGATCAGATGCAACCACATTGAGCTACAGCAACTACAACCTCAAACCTCCATAAAGACAACACGCTTAAAACACATTTTAGAGTTAAATAGAAAATCACCTACACTGTTTGCTCTGACCACAGCTTAGAAACATTAGTACATTTGTACAAAACTGTTTTTTTTCTTTCCCTTTTAAATTTTCATTTTTATAGTTTCTATTGTATTTTATTTATTTACTTAATTATGTTATGTTTCATGTACTTATTTAGATATCACAAAACAACACGAGTGCAAATAGAGTCTGTAGAGGAGTTACTACCTTGATCAAGGTCATACAGTTTAGATTATTTCATTGGCAACTTTCTTTAGAGTTTAAACTTTTTTATATTATAATATGTTACTGATAGAAGGACAAGTGTTCTTTCCTTATACAATAACTATAACAAAATATCAGAGATATTTCTTATTTTATAATCCATTTTGAGCTATTACTCTAAAGCACATGGTTCAGATCATGATGGCGCGTGTGTGTGTATGTGTGTGTGTGTCTCTCTCAGTCCTTGTACTCTGCCGTCATTCGCTCTTCAGAACAACAACAACAACAACAGTGTGGAGGTCAGTCAATGCTGGTACACACAACCCAATTAGAGACGGAAAAATGGAGGCATGGAGGTCAACCAGGGACAAAGAGGAGGGAGGGAACTAAACTCAAGTGTATGTGTGTAATATTAATCTTGGGTTTGTGTGTGATTAAATAGAATAGAAAGAGAACAGTGCCTTCCTTTGTGGGAGTTATGTGAGTGTGTGTTAGTTCAGGTCAAACAGGCCAAGGAGTTTCCATGTTGCTGGGATGCTGCTACAGTGAGTCACTGAGGACACAAACAGCGTTTAACAGATAGCTGTCCGGCATTTCTGTTCATTTGCTGCTAACGATAATTTAATTATCTGAGCGTCAAA